TTTTATTATGGTATCATGTAAAATGGAGTAAAACTTGCCTTAATTTACTTTGCCATTTAATATTTTGGCATTTAAGTTTAATATTTTTCTTAATGGTCGGGGACAAGGACGTTAAAAAAAGCAGACATAGTCTTTTGAAATAACGACTGTGGCGCTTGGCTACTATAGACTTACACGCAGAATACACACACATTGACACGGAGGACATCTGTCACGTGACATGGCTCGTCATTACACCTCATACATTTCGGTGTTGCAAGTACACGCACACAAATACACTACTGATATTTTGATGCTTCAATCATTTGTAAGTGACATTAAGGGTGCCTTTTTGCTACATCTTCGGTCGGGGGCAACTTGGTGGAACGTTGTCAAAATGTTGATAGGACAATTAGACAGAATTGTTAATGCTAAATTACATTCTCTACCAGTCATCCACAGGGTGATACAAAAAAGTGTTACATTGCAGTGTCATTTATAAGTGACATGCTATTAATGGTACTGGCAAAAAATTCTTCGAATGAGATGCAAAAAAACTACACCATGTTGTTTGCGAAAGTAAAAGTGGAATAAGAATAAAGTATGTTTGTATAAATAATGATATGACATTGCACAATGACACAGCTGGTAGAACCGGAATTATTATGAATTCCTAATTAACTGGGGATTTCATATTATTATGCCTTCCTTGTCTTGCAAGGTTTAGGATGGTTTTTACGTACGAGGTGGGTGTTGGATTGATATTAGGAGAGAGGAGTCATTCTGGTGTTTTATTACATTGTCGTAAACATGGAAATGCAATAAAAATAATGTTATATTTTATGTATTTTGTTACTCTATATTATCTTTTATGCTCCAGTTAAAAATGTAGCAATAGTTTCGATTTAACAACATCCTACAGATACGTTGTCGTCCTTTAAATAACTACGATCCTGACTGCCTTACATGTCACGCAAACACCAAATGACGTAAGAGTATATTATATGCATATTAAATTCGATTATATTTATAGTAACTCTCAATTTCGTTCATCTAATCCTTAAAAAACAGTTCAAGGATTTCTTAGAAGATTTAAATAAATAAAACCAGTTTATTGATTTAAGTATCATCTCAAGTTATATGATTAGAAAAAGAGTAAATACCTACTTACCTATTGCTACTATTATACATTTTTTGATAACAATCCTTTACCCAACTTGGGAATTGAACCCGACACCCTTTGCTCGACATTTACACTAGCGTCTACTCCACCAACAAGGCTACTACACCAATAAAATCATCAATAGCTCTATACATAGTGAATAATTGAAGCGTTATTAATTTTATCATCAACTGTTAATAACTGCGGCCGCGACTGATCCATATTTTAATTGAACACTAATCAGATTAACCTACTACACGTCAATAATGGTTCCAATACACAATACACCGTGTTTTGTCTATGTTTGAGTATCACTTGCCTAATTTAGTGTTTACTAGCTTTTACCCGCGGCTTCGCTCGCGTCACAAAAGGATATGTGACATGTACCAATACACACAGCGTCATCTATACCAACACTTTTGTTTTCCCTCGGGAATATCAAATTTTTCCATGATAAAAAATACTCTATTATTTAATCCGGACTTATAACTTTACGTCTGCAAAAATTCAAATCAATCGGTTTAGTAGTTACGGCGTGAAAGCAGAACAAACAAACAAACTCACTTTCCGATTTATAATATTAGTAAGGATGAAATAGAGTTATGTGAATTGCTTGTAATGTTTAGGACAATTCGCTGTTTCGTTGTTGGTCGAGTGATTGAACGCGTAACTGACGAGTAAAGGGGCTCGGGGTCAGCTGGCCGAGCAGCAACAAAGTATTGGCAGGTTATACGGTTTTAACAAATTTTCAGTAATAGCACGGAGTTTAGAGTTTTGCCGGGTCTATGGCATAAGGCTACTAATAGATTAACATAACTGTGTAAAAAGGTGTAACATTCAAAATATATATGGATAAAGGTACTTTCCGAAAATTTTAAAACAACCACCTCTTAAGACTTCTAAGAAACAACAACACTACCCAGTATTATATTTAAAGACAATTACATAGCACTAATTTATTCCTACAGACTTTACAAATAAAAACAAATCTAGCCCAGGCACGGTACAATGACGTTCATTTTACCCAGTAACCTCACGGTAGCGCACTACGGCGCCAACTTTCCAGGAATTTTAATTTCCTTCGACGGGATATCTGTACATAACTTTATTTAGTCGATGTGACACACCCATTTTGTAAGTAAACTGGCTATAAATAAATTTATTTTGAGTCAAATTGAAGGTTTTAAGTAAATTTTGTCACAGCGTTTATTGCAACTAACGCTGCTCAATTTTAAGTCGCGCTTAAGTATAGTTCTGCACATAGACTGCCGTTGGCAGGCGCGCAGGTGGTTGGCGCGTTGTGTGATCCACAGATTGTTGTTCCGGGTCTGGGTGTGATGTGTATGTGAACTTGTATGTTTGTAAACGCACCCACGACACAGGAGAAAATCATAGTGTGGGGCAACGTTTTTAAAAAAAAGAAAAGAAAGAACGAAATTTATATCACTACAAATTTATTGAAAAATGACAGAGACGGCACGATATAAGTACAACTTGAACTTGAGTTGCCTTAGTATTCAGGCGTGTACAGATGATGGTTACAGAATCATTATAGTGCTTAACTTAGTAGCCTTTTACAGACATTGCAAATAAACTAAACATATCATCATCAACAGCCTATAAATGCCAACTGCTGAGCAAAGCCTCTTCTTACAGTGAGGTTTTGAACATTAATCACCACGCTTTCTCAATGCGGGTTGGCGATTACAAACTTATAATTAGAAATTATAATAAGCACAGGTTTCCTCACGATGTTTTCCTTCACCGTTTGTCAGTGGTGTCTAGATAATCTTAGAAAATACCTATAACTCGGAAAAAGTCATATTGGTACTTGCCGTTGGTAGGCTTCGAACCCGTACCCTACCACGACTAAACTAAACGTATAAACATATATACCTAGATAACGTCACGCCTTTTAAGCCCCGAAAGATCAAATACTTTTAAATATTAAGTGTGGAAGAGCCATGCTTTAGCACGAAAGGGCCGGCTCGACCGGAGTGACACCACGGCCTATGGAAAACCGACGTGAAACAACTCTTGCATTGTGTTTCGTCGATGAGTGAGGTTACAGGAGGCCCATATACCGGGCACAGTTCCAGACTCTGTGTTACTACTGAGATTTTTTAAAACCCAGTAATACTTTGCCCGACCCGGCAATCGAACCCGAGAACTCTTGCCCGGCAGTCGCACTTGCGACCACTCGGCCAACGAGGTAGTCAGTCAAATCCCAAATATGCCAACAAACTCATTCAATAACACTTAATTTAGACAAAACCAACAAATCTCACTTAAAGTCGACGTTCGACGTTCGACTGCACGGTTAGCGCGGTGGTTGAGCAACTGACTGCCGCGCAGCGCATCGCGGGTTCGATTCCCGCACGGAACAACTCTTTGTGTGATCCACAGATCGTTGTTCCGGGTCTGGGTGTCATGTGTATGTGAACTTGTATGTTTGTAAACGCACCCACGACACAGGAGAAAATCCTAGTGTGGGGCACAAAAAAAAAGTTCAAAGTTTAATATGAGGAGTAGGGGGCATGAACCGGCTGGCAGTCAGTACAAGCATCGAACTGCCGCTCCTATCGTAAACGTTGATCACTTGGCACCGAACCCAGTTGTACGACACACGACATACCTTCTTGGCAACACTTTGGTATAAGGTAGAGCCATTTTAAAAAAGGCCTCTAATATTGTTTTGCAGTTGGGCTTACTTAGCAGATACTTATAATATAATGTCGTGTCTTTTATTGAGGGGGGAGAATGTTATTGTGAAATGTACGGCTGATAGAGTAAATTTTCAACACAAATAATAGTTTTATTAAAAACATATATTGTAACATACCTACATTGACGAAATAAATAATATTTGTATTTGTATTTTTTTTGGTAGTACCCAATACCAACCCACTTCACTGTAATAGCTATATCATGAGTTCGTTTAATCGTTTTCAGTATTGCGGTACAGCGGTCACAATTTGTAACTTTGCTCCATGCTATTAAGTACTGACAAATTTGAAAAATTGAGAAATAATCTTAATGATATTTTTCAGACTCAGGAATCAAACCCAGGACATCGTAGTACGGTAGTCGCCCTAGCGACCTCTAGACCATCGAGATAATCCAGTCAAATTATACAAATGCTATTATTATATTAGACTGCCCGGTTGGCGCGGTGGCTGGGCAACTGGCTGCGGCGCAACGTGTCGCGGTTTCGATTCCCGCATGGAAAAACTCTTTGTGTGATCCACACATTGTTGTTCATAGGTGTGAATATGAAATTGTATGTAACGCATCCACGACACAGGAGAAAATCATAGTGTGGGGCAACGTTTAAAAAATATATAAGTAATTAAAATAAAATCAGTGTTAAGTCAAAATATAACTATTCATTTTATTTCGTATCTAATTCATATATAATGTAGGCAAGTACTTCTGAACTTCCAGTATTTAACGTTGTGGCTACGCTATAATAACTCATCAGTAGGTACGTATGTAAATTACGTACTATGCAAACTTGCAATCTCATTTCAGAGAACTCGATTTGTTTGCTCGAAGTTATATACTTTACCAATAATATCGATTCTAACAAAGTTCTTCCATCATATCTATAAAGAAAGTAAGTCTGCAAAAAAATATAATTATTAATTCGTAATAAAAACTCCTTTAAAACATAAACGACACAATAATATATCAAATCAATACAGGCAGGTTAGAAATAACGTAAAATTAAAACGTCATTTTTAAAAATAGAACATCAATATCTGTCAATTTTTTCGGTCGAACACGAAAGCGAGCGCGGCGCGGCTTTTTATTAAATTATTTTTTATATTTGAATTATTGAAATTAAACAAAAAACACAATGTCATCTGAAGGAAAAACAACTGATCTTACGCTTGACGATCTTGATAACATCGACACAACGTTGTTGACACTGAGGAAGCCGACGGAATTAAAGAAAGTGATCGATTCAGTGCCAAAACCTGTGAGAGCCGTGCCAAAAAATGGCTTGCCTCTGTGGTACAAACTGGGGCTGGAGTGTAAGTTGCCTGTGCCAAAAATGCCGGTCGGGAAAGTTATATTTTCGCGCGGGAGGATCGGAGAAGATGTAAGTAATACTACTTTTATTAAGCGAAGTACACATTGTAGTTGGTAATTTTAAGTTAATACTAACGCCATTAACGTGCGGCCTTCTGTCAAACCGCAAATGTATTATTTACTTAAAAAATGTGGGTTTTAGTTTTTTACCCTAAAACTACGTGAGTCATAGAGCAAGGTTATTTTTAAGCCTTATACACCCTAGCGCCATGTAACAAATGTGTAGAAAAGTAAAGTATAAAAGAAAAATTTTAACAAATTGCGTACTGTACATAAAACATTAAGCTAAATTCACACAAAACATACCTATTCATGAACAAAGTATATAAATAAACACGACTTTGACAAAGGAATTCTGAGTTAAGCATTGCAAATTCACAGGCTAAAACTTTGCCTTTGTAAACCTAGCTTAAGTCTCCTTTAACATCTTTAATATCTAAGGTTTAAACGGCCCATTTTAAATGTTTGTCATGCAAATACCATTGGTAACGCGTAAACGAATGAATAGAGGCTTCGAAACTCATAAATCAACCGTTACTTTGCATTGAAATTGTTCCACTTCTTTATGAACGACTCTGGTAAATATTGCGCGCCTTTGTTACATAATATTTAAAAGCATTTTAAATGCTTCTAATTTATACTATGAGAGCTATGTAGATTGGCGACTTTTCTTGACTTTTTGATAGAAAATGCGTGTGAAAATTCAATCCTAAACTATACTCTACTACAAAATAAAAATATGCTATACATTTTATATGCTTGATTGTTAACGATGAAGTCTTTACAGTTACTTAATTTGATTAGTAAAAATAGTACCTAGTGCATTTTTCAAGACAAATATTCATCACCATCATGTTAACCACAACACGACAACATTACATCGTCAAAAAACTTAAGTAAACTTATTCTAAGAAAATCTCTTTACAATTAATTTTCTACAAACATTTTCTTCTAATAAAATTCTTGATATATTAAAGTCGTTTAGTTACGTCGTAGGTACACAGAAACGATCTTTATTAGAATTAATAAAAAAATTGGATTTCCATTGAACGCTATTTGCTAGCAAATACTGTGCCAATTAAAGTAAATGAATATCCAGAGACTTGCGAATTACATTGTGTCGAAATTGTATATTACTGAATATAATATGTTATTGAAATACAAATCAATTTCAGTACGTAATGAAATAAGATTCATTCGCTCGTCTGAACGTTTTATTAACTTTTATGTGTCTTTTGACATTGGAAAATAGTATAGTGGAGTGCCTAAGTATACCTAATTTGTTTTCTTTCTTTCTTCTAAAATCAGTCTTTATGATCAGTTCGGTGCCAATCACTCGTTACTATAAACAAAGTCCGTCTTTAACGTGATAAACTCCAAAATAGTTTTTTAAGGAAGTGTCAGACTCTTGCTGACTAAAAACCACTCTGTTCCTACTCCTGCACATCGAGCCGGAGTATCCGGACTCCTCTCGAAACCTGTTACGTTCTCTAAGGCTCCGTATCGGCACCAGCCCTATTGGGCGTCGTAACTCAAAAACAGTAGAGTGGATTTTCTCTGACAATAAAATTAACATTGGCCGTAGATCAATCGTGTATCTTGTCCATTTATAAATCTTTTTTTATAACAGTTACCATGGTAATACTAAGAAGATTTAAGATAAGATTGCTTTAATATAACCTAGTCCACGTATCAGTGCAGAATCGTAGTCCAAAATCTTTATACGGAAAAGGTTACGAAGGTCAACCACTAATTTTCTGTACCTTTTTTACCTTAGATTGTACCCTTTTAGCGGGATTTACTGGTATTAAGCTTGTAAAACGAGATATATATATCGTTTTGTTTTATTTAATGAAGTGGTGTTTTGTCCTAAATTATTATGAGGTAGAATTCAAAAGTCCTTTTCAATCACAATAAAATTTATTGTCTTTAAAGATGCTCCGTCACCGGGAGCATTCGCGTGTAATGTAACGTTACAGATCTGAGCATGACATCAGTGAAGGAGGAGCACCGAGCATTACAATGCGCACCTTGTAATGATACAATGTGTAATATCTTGATACAACTTGTAACATCAATGTCTGACATCTTGTTATGAAATGCTCAAAGTCGAATCTATAATGTTACATTGCACGTGAATGCTCCCGGTGAAGGAGCACCTTAAATGGGTTTGTTTCGATATTTTGCACATTAGACCCGCTAAAACAAGTTAATAGTGAATAGGTTGCTTATGGGACGACGTGCTCCATCGTAGACCGCATCATCGCTCACCACCAGACGAGATAGGTCTAACGTCGGCACATCAAATAAAAAAAAGATAGATAAATAAATAGATTATGTATTCCAGGTTAGATTTTAGTAGGTATTTATAAAAGAGGTTCGTCTTCTTTCTGGTCTATTCCCAAGTCTCTTTACGTCTTCTTATTCCGTGTTTCCCTATTAGACGTCATTTCTTTATATATCAAATCTCTTAGCATTACTACACTTTATCTACAATTTACTAATTTACTGTACTTAGTAGATATTAATATGTATATGGCTTTGTTATTATAATTAAATATTCAACGTATAATATCGAATCTAAAATACAAATCAAATTATTTTCATCCGCCACCCACATAGGAATAATTTTATTAAAATCTGTTTGCTCTTATAAAGATTGATAGGTGGCAGCGTCGATATTAATTTGTTAATTACTATTTCTATATATTTAAAATTCTCTGTAAATTACATTTTTAAATTTAGAAAATAAAAATAAATAATATAAAAAATAGGAGCCGACCAGTAGCGGGAGCATGTCCAAGCTACTAGTTGTTAGGGCTCCAGAGACAGAAACCTCCTCATGATACGTGCCGTTTCTACGAGAACTGCCTTCTGTATCAGACCCTTGATCTATCCACCTAACGGCAGCCTCTTTATTAATTATATTATATTATGTTAATTATATTATTATTAAAATATTACTGATCTACCTACTTTGTATACGATTTGTGGAGTTTTAGTAAAAAAAAAAAACAAAAAAAAAGGTAGATTTAAAGTAAACAATCGTCATTAACGGCTTGTGACAGTTCATGCATGGACAGCAGAATAGCCGAACAGTTTGGCATGAACTCCATGGAGCCTATTCTACAGACGGGTTCGAATTATCTTTACGCTTGCTCCGTAAGCAGTTTGCAGTGTTAACGGTAAACCCCTGCTACCTAGTCTTTGTCCAATGTTTATTCCAATAAATGATCTCTTATGACGACCCATGAGAAGGAAAGAGGTAACCTATCCAATAAATGTATTCTACTCTCGCCAGATGATTTGTTTGAATTAGATTTCTCTAGCTTTACTCAATATATCTATCATTGTTGAACTGCTAACAGAAACTTCCTCGTTGGCCGAGTGGTCGCAAGTGCGACTGCCGGGCAAGGGGTCTCGGGTTCGATTCCCGGGTCGGGCAAAGTATTACTGGGTTTTTTAAAAAAATCTCAGTAGTAGCACGGAGTCTGGAATTGTGCCCGGTATATGGCAATAGGCTCACCCCCTATTACATGGGACTCATAACATGAAAAGTAGGTGTTACATTGTTCAGTGGCAGTAAGTGCCGTAATGTCGGGGATAAAAGGCGTGATGTTATGTTATGTGTTACGCTAACAGAAACAATAAATCTTTTATAAAGTACGTTTTAAAAAACAGACTTCAAACCCCTTTTTTATAGTCGGTTAATTAATATAGTTACTAAAACCTTCTCGGTTGTAAAATGGGTTTAGCCAATATCGAGATAGTCGTGCATAAACATACATACCTACATACTTATATATACATACAGGGCAAGCTGAGAACCTCCGTCTGTTTTTGAAGTCGGATACAGATAATTTCTTTGAAAACAATATAGAATGAGATTAGCAATATTAAGCACCATATTTAGAACATTAAATGGATTACTGATCATAATTCTATAGTAATAAATTCTGGTCTCGTTTACTTGGCCGGCAGATGGGCACACCTGTCGCTTTGTACGACATCGAGATTTTATAGACGATCGTTATAAAGTGTTCGATGCTTTACGCTTACTTTAAAATAAAATAAAGATTTTAATAAAGTGAAGTTTACATACGTTAAATATTAGATAAACATAAACCAAAATATAAATAAGACTGATATGATTCCTTTATGCAAACAATCTGAATATACTTTTAAAGAAAAAATAATCTAGATATACACTGAAAAAAATTATGTTCCGCACATTTAAATGTAAGCGAGTTTCATAGAACAATATCTTTTGAACTTATACATAATTATGAGGAAAACAATGCTTAAAACACTATAACAATATTATCAGGTATTCTGTTCAAAACTAGTTTTAGCTGGTTTTAGTATATTCGTAAAGTAAATTGAAAGACTGTTACGGCTACTGTTTAAAAAAAACCTTATGAATATACTTACATATGTATATTTAAAGCTACCGACTATCTACTTCAATTGCTGTATGGTGTACAGAGAAAAACCTCCACACTTCATACGATTGCTGTAAAAGCCAGCCAAGATCGGGCAGCATCAGTTAAAAAAAATTTAACCTTTTAAAAGCGCCAAGCATTAAGAATGTAATAAGCCGTCATGCAGTGGACCGTAAGAGGCATTTGACGATGATGGCAAGGACTTTCATCAGTCAGTTATAAGTATAATTTATTACTGAATAATAATCATACGAGATTCTAGCATAAATTAAAGGACACAACACAATCACATACAAAATGGAGTAAAAACTGTTTCACTCACAACTGTGTCCTCACACAAAACACTTGAAATCTGTTTTAAGAGTCTCAGCTCTTCTCATTATGCTAATGCTTGCTATTCACTCGGTGAATGTCGGCGTGTGTATGGGAGGTTTTCGCGCGATAAATCTCCTTAGCACGCCTCTAACATATGTGTGTATGTGGTTAGTAACAGATTTAGAGATAAACTTTGTTTACTGAAGATGATTAGCGATGTCTGTGATTCATAGCTTTTGTAATCTGTTGTAAT